TCTCTCTCTCTCTCTCTCTCTCTCTCTCTCTCTCTCTCTCTCTCTCTCTCTCTCTCTCTCTCTCTCTCTCTCTCTCTCTCTCTCTCTGTGCCGGGTACTAACCTGTGAAAGGTGGCACCTTGCTGCAGGTACTCTGAAGACGAAGCTGGAGCGATGGCGTCCCAGGGAAGTCTCCCTGGCCTCCGCCACTCTTCTCCCTATCAATGCTACCCTAAGGTCCTAGCAGCGCCCAGCTGCTGAAGACTACTCCTATTGCTACCTACTCCTGCTGCAGCGCTCCCGAAGAATGCCGCTGCTGAATGCCTGAAGACTCCATGCCGCCTCCTAGGCGGACCAACTATATATATCGTTGGTCCGGCTGGGAAGCTGCTCTTGCCAATGCCGAACGGCGCCAGTCCCTGGTGCCAGGCCAAAAGTCTGGTTCCTAAGTTGGCGCCCAAATTCAAATTGTCGAATTTGAAGCAGGGCCTGAAAACGGCCTGGCGAGTACTGGGCCTCTACCGGGTCTGGTGCCAAAACGGCGCCAGGGCCTACCAACAGTCCTATCGACCTACCTAGGCTTAAACGACACAGGCCTGTCGGGCCTCTACCTAAGCTGAACCAACACAGGGCCTGAAGGGCCCTTCTCTAACCCCTATCCTGACTGGACGGGCCCTGCGGGGCCCGTGTGGTGCTTAGTATGCCACACTACCCCTGTCCAAGATACGGAAATACTGCACGGGAAAAAGAGTGAGCACACGGACGCAGAACTTCACCGGACAAGCACACAGCAAACATCCATCAGCAGCAGGACACACACACTCAGAAAACAAAGCAGAAAAGACTCGAGAGTTGGAAGCCTCAGCAAAACAGACCAAATCACAGCACCTTCCGGACAGAAGTGCAGACTTCTTGGACTGCAACTATGCAGGTCATTGCCTCAGGTACTTTTTTTCCTTAGCCATGTATTCACACTATACCTACCAGTTGGCTGAAGGCTACACACAGACGGCCACAGATTAAGAGATCAGTTCAAAACATCAAACTTCAAACCCAGTTCGATACAGAAGTTCCAGGGTCTAAACCTTCTTAAAACCACAGAAAAAAGAAGGGCTTCAAGGCCCAGTGCGGGTTACTGCGTGTCAAGGGTCAGAATGTATGAGACAGAGTGGAAACGTCATGCACCGCGGGGCAGCGAAGTCAAAAGCACGAAATGAGATGAATAGACGTTGAAAGACAGCAGAGCCAATCAACGTTGCCTCTGCCTAACAGCAACCCACGCCACATGGAGCAAAAGAAAGGTCTCAACACACCCACAAAAGAAGCATTTGAATCAATCAGACCATGGCGCAAGGCAATTGACAAGCCCAAGGGTTCTGGTGAAAAATGGAAACAAAATGGGACGAAGGAGTCCTCCTGCCCCCACGCGCCGTTTTTGCTCCATATATTGTAGCTTTTCCACGACCGAATCATAGTGGACCCACAGACCCTCTTGTGCCCACATACACATGGTGAAACCCTCTTTTCATGCCAAAAAGTATCTGCCAGCTCGCCTTTCATTGTTCTGCACTTGTCATCTTCGTGAGACATGCCTACAAGGGCCTGCATGACATGTCTGCTCCTAGACATTGCATGTCTCAATTCTCCTGAGTGGCACATTCTTCAGCCACAAAGGAGCACTTCAGACTTGGGGATTTTCGAACGAAACCATCACCACAGTCCATCCCCTGGGCTCATCACCAGTTCATTCCACGCCCTCCAGAAGATAACAGGAGAGTGCCCGTCCATCCTATAGATCCTGTTTCTGATCTCTCCCTGCAAGTACACAACGCTAATAACTCTCTGTGACAAAAGCATTTGCTGCTCCTCGGCCAATTTTGAAGGACAAAAAATTAATTACATTGGTCCCATCTATTCACATATCACTACATTGACCATGTCATGGTGTGAATGGGCATACAGACGACCGGCAGATAATCCATACCAGGGCACACACAAACATGCATACGTTCTGACAAGAATTCTGGCCTTTGCAGACAGACTGGCCAGGCCTGTGTCAAATGCAAGAAACTGCCAATTTTCCATGCAATGCTTCCCCTTTGTGCACCTCACAGCTCTCAGATGAATCTCATCAGAATCCCAAAATTAAAAAAGTACCATTTCTCGATTCGTGTGTGTCATCCTTGCGCAGGGAATCCCAAAATTGAAGTCCAATGGCTTACCCATTTCCCAGGGTGAACGGTTTGGCCAAACCACAGTCGGTTCAGCACACAAAAAAAAACTGGGCTTTCTGTTGAGCAACTTACTGGCCTGCCTTCAGCTACTGCTTTGCACAAAGACCGCTCTAGCTTCCAGAACTCTGTGCCGCTGTCCAGCTCTAATACCAACCTGCAACCAGTGTAGTATTTATTGTTAATAAGGAACTGCAAAGGGCGCACCATCTAACAACAAATTCGCACTGCAAAGCACTCACAAGTTACAAACGAACTGCCCACCCTTTTTCTGTTTTCTTCATTCAAATAAGAATGGGCCTAGCTCAGTTGGTACGCCCAATGAACTGTTGAAATACAGACCCGAGTTCGAATCCAGATGAATCAGATAAATACAGCATTATAATTATGAATTACCTGGGACAGGTTAATTTTGAATTACCTGGGACTGGTCAGTTCAATGATGATAATTCAAGGCCGTATATATAAGTATATATATCCCTACACTATTAAAATCGCTAAGGTAACAAATCTGAAATCCGGGCCGTCGTCGGTCCTACCGGCCCACGGCCCAGATCGACCTAACCATGTAACAAATCTGCGATCTGGGCCGTCGGGTCCTACCAGACCGACGGCCTGGATAGATGCGGTCTTAAGATCTTAGTACCGCGCCGAGATCCAGCCGTCCGTCCGGATCGACGGCTCAGATAGACGCGCCGGGAAGTGCCTTGGGGTAC